GGTTTAGGAATTAAGGTGATGCTGGATTTGTAGAAAGAATTTGGGAGGATTCCTTCCCTTTTAATTCTTTTGAATAACTTGAGAAGATTTGGAGTTAGTTCTTCCTTAAACGTATTGTAGGGTTCAGCAGTAAAGTCATCCAGTCCTGGGCTTTTCTTTGTGGGGAGGGTCTTTATTACTGATTCAACTTCCATCTTGGTTATGGGTCTATTTAGGTTTTCTGTGTCTTCATGGATCAATTTAGGTATGTCCAGGAATCTATCCATTTCTTCTAGGTTTTCCAGTTTCTTGCCATATAGCTCTTTGTAGTAATTTCTAATGATTTTCTTTATTTTTGTGGTGTTTGTTGTTACAGTTCCCTTTTCATCTCCAGTTTTATTTATTTATTTATTTTTTTGACAGGCAGAGTGGACAGAGAGAGAGAGAGAGACAGAGAGAAAGGTCTTCCTTTGCTGTTGGTTCACCCTCCAATGGTCGCCACGGCCGGCGCACTGTGGCCGGCGCATTGCGCTGATCCAATAGCAGGAGCCAGGTACTTATCCTGGTCTCCCATGGGGTGCAGGGCCCAAGGACTTGGGCCATCCTCCACTACACTCCCTGGCTACAGCAGAGAGCTGGCCTGGAAGAGGGGCAACCGGGACAGAATCCGGCGCCCCAACTGGAACTAGAACCCGGTGTGCTGGTGCCGCAAGGCGGAGGATTAGCCTAGTGAGCCGCGGCACTGGCCCATCTCCAGTTTTATTGATTTGGGTCTTCTCTCTCCTTTTTCTGTTTAATTGGGCCAATGGTGTCAATTTTGTTTATTTTCCCAAAAACCAGCTCTTGATTTTGCTAATCTTTTGCGTTGTTTTTTGGGGATTCAATTTTGTTGATTTCTTCTCTAATTTTAATTATTTCTTTTCTCCTACTAGCTTTGGGTTTGGTTTGCTGTTGTTTTTCTAGATCCTTGAGTCGCATTGATAGCTCATTTATTTGGTGCCTTTCCAATTTCTTGATGTAGGTGCCAATTGCTATAAACTTTCCTCTTAACACTGCTTTTGCTGTATCCCATAAGTTCCTTTATGCTGTGTCATTGTCTTCATTTGTTTCCAGAAATTTTTTGATTTCTCTCTTGATTTCTTCTACTATCCACTGTTCATTCAGGAGCATGTTATTCTGTCTCCATGTGTTTGTTATGTCCTAGTGATTCCTGATTTGCTCATTCCTGGCTTCATTCCACTGTGGTCTGAGAATTTGCTTGATATGATTTTGATTTTTTTGAATTTTCTAGGACTTCCTTTATGGCCTAGCATCTGATCAATCCTAGAGAAAGTTCCATGAACTGCTGAGAAGAATGTGTATTCTGCAACTGTGGGATGAAAAGTAGATATCTGTTAGGTCCATTTGGTCTATAGTGTTGATTAAATCTGCTGTTTCCCTGTTGATTTTCTGTCTGGTTGATCTGTCCATTTCTGAAAGTGGGCTATTGAAGTCCCCCATTACTATTGTATTTGAGTCTGTGTCTCCTTTTAGATCCCTTAACTTTTTTTTAAATAGCCAGGTGCCCTGTAATTAGGTGCATATATGTTTCTAAAAGTTACATCTTCCTGTTGAATTGATTCCTTAATCATTACATGTGCCTTTCTTTGTCTCTTTTAACAGTTTTTGTGTTAAATTCTATTTTGTCTGATATTCGGATGGCTACACCAGCTCTCCCCACGGACCACACAAAGGATCTGTGCAGTCCTCTGCGTAAGCTCAGATTCCCCAGCAGTGTCCCTCACCAGGTAAGCAGGGAGCCCTGAGCTGTGGAGCCTCCCACAGTGGCTGCCCAGAGTCCCAGCCACACCATGAGTCCACCCACGCAGTCGCAGCATTTTCACAGCCCGAGCACGGAGCCCCCGTCTGTTCTCCCCACCAGACTCAGGAGTCTGCTCTTGGCTACTCGCTGGGCACAGCCACAATCTGGCACAGCTGTTACGTATGTCCAAAATGGTGACTGCTGTCTATCAGCTTGTTACAGGACGCCATTTCAGGGTGACCAGGGAGAGAGAAACGTGCCGCACCTTTGTTTTTTCTCCTCTAGTTTTGCAGGTACGTTATCCCCCACAGGGTTCCAGGCCAGATCCCTCTAGGCTGTTCCTGCAGCTTTTTCGCCAGTGGCTTGGGCTGCTGCAGTCTGGAGTCACCTCACTCTCCAATGCTGGTGCAGAGGCTCTCAGCTGCTGGGGTCCTGAGTGTGCTGACCTTAGTATTTTAAGAGAATACAGTAAAAATAACCTATTGAAAAGCAGCAACAGTGACTTCTGTTCATGCTAGGCAGGTCACTGCTCTGTTCTTTTGTAATGTGCCTGAATTCTAGAGGGACGTATATAAGGATAATTTTTAACACTCACTGGGTGAGGGGCCGGCCTGTGGCATAGTGGGCTAAGCCTCCACCTGCAGTGCCAGCATCTTATATGGGTGCTGATTCCTGTCCCAGCTGCTTTTCTTCCCATGTAGCTCTCTGCTGATGGCCTGGGAAAGCAATGGAAGACGGCCCAAGTGCTTGAGCCCCTGCACCCATGTGGGAGACACAGATGGAGTTCCACACTCCTAGCTTCAGCTTGTCCCAGCTCCAGCCATTTGAGGAGTAAACCAGCAGATGGAAGACCTCTCTCTCTTTCTCTTTCTCTCTCTGCCTCTGCTTCTCTCTGTGTGTGACTTTCAAATGAATCAATAAGTCTTAAAAAAAAAAAAAGCAAATATTGGAGAAACACAGCAGATCCCTCTGAGTCATGTACCCCAGCCCTCTGGGATGGGGGGAGGGGATGGAAGGCAAGAGGGAGGCAGCTTCTTGGAGGGAGGGGGTGGTGGTCCTCCATGGAAATAGAGGATGAATGGGAAGCAGATACTCATCCCACCAGCGCCAGACCGTTAGCAAGGGCAGAGCTACACCTGGAAAATGCAGCCTCAGTCCTGGTTAGAGAAGTTACAGTGAGGGAGAGTGACAGGGAAGTTTAGAGCAAAAACAATTTAACAAATAATGTAAATTCAAAACAAAGATAAAGCTCTGAAATGATGCTAAGTCAAATAACCAGAGTTTTTTTTTTTAAGGAATAATTTATTTATTTGAAAGAGTTACAGAGAGAGAGAGAGAGAGAGAGAGAGAGAGAGAGAGAGAGGTCTTCCATCTGCTGGTTCACTCCTCAAATGGTGGCAATGGCCAGAGCTGAGCTGACCCAAAGCCAGGAGCCAGGAGCTTCTTCCAGGACTCCCACGTGGGGGCAGGAGCCCAAGCACTTGGGCCATACTCTGCTGCTTTCCCAGGCCATAGCAGAGAGCTGGATGGGAAGTGGAGCAGCCGGGACTCGAACCAGTGCCCATATGGGATGCTGGCGCCGCAGGCCAGGGCTTTAACCCACTGCACCACAGCGCTGGCCCATTTTGTTTTTTACTTGCAGAAGTATATGGATGTTATAAAATGCAAATCCCTAGTCCTGCTAATGAATGCTCCCACACACATTCTGTAATTGAGCGTGCTCATGGATGAACGGCCTGCCTCTGGTTCCCTGCTCCTCGTCTTCCTTCCACCACAATACAATCTGCAGGGGGAACAAAATAAAGAAAATTGCCTTTTTTTTTTTTTAAGATTTGTGTATTTGAAATACAGAGTTACAGAGAGAGGTACAGACATCCTGAGGTCTTCCATCTGCTGCATCACTCCCCAAATGGCTGCAACAGCTGGAGCTGAGCGGATCCAAAGCCAGGAGCCAGGACTTTCATCCAGGTCTCCCACGCACTTGGGCCATCCTCTGCTGCCTTCTCAGGCAAATTAGCAGGGAGCTGGATTGGAAATGGAGCAGTCAGGATGCCAACTGGCAACCATGAGTGACGCCAGCGCTGCAGGCTGGGGCAGTAACCTGCTGTGCCATATTGCTGGCCCCAGAAAATTTCTTAAAGAAAAGTTTCTATATGGATAAAGAATAGTCACAGTAAGAAAATGCATAATTGTGGTAATGGGCAGTATCTACTGAGCAGGGAGCGTATGTTAGTCACTGTAGTAAATAAGACAATCATTTCAATCTTGTAACTCTCCTGTGAGTTGGGATTTTGATTCTGCTTACTTGCAAGTGAGAAAACCAAGGCTGGGAGGGATGAATGATTTGCCCCCGTTCTGGCTAAGGCCTTGATTTCAGAATCTGCATTCTTAAAATTCTAGGTACCGGGCCGCCGGTGCTGTGGTACAGCGGATTAAAGCCCCAGCCTGCAGCCTTGGCATCCCATATGGGTGCTGGTTCGAGTCCCAGTTGTTCCACTTCCGATCTAGCTCTCTGCTATGGCCTGGGAAAGCAGCAGAAGATGGCCCAAGTCCTTGGGCTCCTGCCCCACTTGCGAGAACCAGAAGAAGCTCCTGGCTCCTGGCTTCGGATCGGCACAGCTCTGGCCGTTGCGGCCCTCCGGGGAGTGAACCAACGATGGAAGACCTCTCTCTTTCTCTCTCTCTCTGTCTGCCTCTGCCTCTCTGTAACTCTGGCTTTCAAATAAAATAAATAAATATTTTTAAAAAATTCTAGGCGTGGCTTTCACTTTTCGTTAATTATTTGACTATTTTTTAATTTAAGCACCATGATTTCTTGTGGCGCATTATTTTATATTTGGTACTGTGGGCAATAAAGCACACTCGAAGCTGGCTTTTTTTTTTTTAATTTAATTATTTTTTGACAGGTAGAGTTATAGACAGTGAGAGAGAGAGACAGAGAGAAAGGTCTTCCTTTGGTTGGCTCACTCCTCAAACGGTCGTCACGGCCGGCGCTGCGCCAGTCTGAAGCCAGGAGCCAGGTGCTTCCTCCTGGTCTTCGATGTGGGTTCAGGGGCCCAAACACTTGGGCCATCCTCCACTGCCTTCCATGGCCACAGCAGAGAGCTGGACTGGAAGAGGAGCAACTGGGACTGGAACCCAGGCCCATATGGGATGCCGACGCCACAGGCCGAGGATTAACCAAGTGAGCCATGGCGCTGGCCCTGAAGCTGGCTTTCTCTCCCTGTTTTTTCTCCAACTGTCCTACCCCATCTGCAACACAAGGCCTCTCTTCCTGCTCTGGTCCATCAGGGACATCGGACTCTGACTCTGGATGGAGCAAACTTCCTCTGATAGTCATTTCTGGATTGCAGCTGACCCTGGCAAATAAATCTCAAGCAACAACTATGCACATTGATCATTTGAAAATCTGCAAGAAAATGCCAATCCATGAAGCACATCTGCAAATGTAACTGCAATATTTAAATTGTGACCCAGGAAAATGTCTCTGCTGAGGGTGTTTCCTGGTGGATGTGGTTCAAAGAAATCTGACACCCTTGTCTACACTGGCTGTGTGTGTCCTCCTTTTACGGGAGCTCTTGTTTTAGGCTTTCTCACAGCTCTTCCCCTGGTCCAGCCTCAGCTCATGTACCCTCATCCCACACCCACTGGATTGGGCCAGTCTTCCTCCAATGAAGATCTATCAGCATAGGTCTTTTCCTTCTCTGGTTACTGGTTGAGAATTGCATTGGTGCTGCTTCTGCTTATTATCTTAGCCCTTCTTAAGTTCACCAGTGAGCTGTCGTTCGAGTCTTCCAGGCTCATCACATGGCCAGCCTGCCAGTAGATCCGCGATAAGCTCGGCTTTGATATCTGGGAAGTGTATGCTTTCATCTGATATCCATGAACTGTGTTTTGTCACTTGTGTTTGGCCTCCCGGTTGGCTATTGATGTATTTCTTTCCTTATTATCTGGAGTAGCAGTCCAGCTTTTTTGATAATGCTTTCCCTTTGGTCTATTTTTTTGGGACAAATTCTTCCAAATATATTTGTTCTTAAAGGGTATACAGGTGCTCCTGTCCTTAGCTTGTTACAGTTAGTATACACAGGGTGAAGTTCATTGTTGATAATGGACGCGCATCTACATTTCAAATTGTCCTCCTGATAGTTTTATTGTTTTCCTAATGAGAATTTGGTTGATAAGGTTGCCATTTGAATTTTGAAAGTGATTGTCAAAGATGTGACACCTGGGACCCTGCAGTGCCAGCATCCCTTATGGGCGCCAGTTTGAGTCCCGACTGCTCCACTTCCGATCCAGCTCTCTGCTATGGCCTGGGAAAGCAGTAGAAGATGGCCCAAGTCCTTGGGCTCCTGGACCCATATGGGAGACCCAGAGGAAGCTCCTGGCTCCTGGCTTCAGATCAGCTCAGCTCTGCTATTACGGCCAACTGGGGAGTGATAGAAGACATTTCTCTCTGCCTCTCCTCTCTCTGTGTAACTCTTTCAGATAAATAAATAATTTTTTTTTTTTTAAAGATGTGATACTCAAAGAGCCGGTTCTGTCATTTGCTTGCTGTTCTCCTGTGGCTTCTTTGCAGAGGATTCTTACACAACCATTTGTTCTGCGAGAGTCGAATTAAATCTAGATAATGTAGTCAGAAAGCCTGTTTCACTGAATGTAGTAATGTTTCAACATGTTGACCGGTGCCAACTCCTGGGAATGGGAAGAGGACATCTCTGTTGCACGAGGGCATGGGACTACACCACGGACTGAGTGCCGGGCCCTCCATCGTGGATAGAACATATTAGTTGAGGTTAATGCCTTTCTTTTTACATTAGAATCAGGCATAAGTAGATGTCTGAATGTTTTCTTCTGCATCCCCAATGGGCTGGCTTGCACTATCTTTGGAGTATACACACTCCTGGGAGGCACTGTCCTTCTGCAGAAATTACGAGTCCAGAGAACAGTTTCTCACGTAAGCAAGGATGTTTCCCTTGAAAAAAGGCCTGCTCATTTCAGTTGCTCAGCCATTTTTATCAAAAATGCAATGACTTTGAAATGAATTGTCTTTAGAGAGATCCATAATTTGCAAGCAAAATCTCCACTCTACAAAATGTGAAATGTTCTAAGCAACAGCTGTGAGCATTTCAAACGTGCACTATTTCTTAACGGTTCAACTGTTGCCAAGGGAAATTGAGTTGGCTTGAAAATCTTCCTTGGTTTTAAGTCTGCATTTTTATCCCGAGATGCAGGAACCAGTTCTGCTTGGCTGGGACACTGAACTTTCATGAAGACTGTACGGGAAGCGGAGACCCGAAATGGAAGTTTCTTGAAGGCAGAACTAGTCCCGTATTCCAGTCTTCAGGGCTTAGTGGTAATGAACTTGCTCAGAGTCAAAACCAACAGGAGTGATACCAGCGCAGCAGCCAATCACCTGAAGTCAGCAGGGGGAGCCTGCTTCATGGAAGTCATCTTCCCGTTCCGCATTCCCAAGGCAGGGATATTTTTATCTTTCATGGCACAAAATAATTATTTATTTATTTTTCACCTAAGAGCCATTTCTGGCAGTGTACACGGAAATCGGCACTACCTGAGAGCTAAAGAACAGAATCGAGAACACAAATGCGTTTTGTTGGTTGTCAGTTGTACTCATGGTAAATACTTTTATTTTAATACAGTCCCGACTCCCTAACTGTGTGGATATCATGATGTGCTGCCGAGGGGGAAACCTAGGTTACAGAACGACACAGATGATCAGAAATTAAATAAATAAACACAAAAAACCAAACCCACTGGGAAGACGTACACTAAGATGAGCGATATGAATAATGCTTATTTTTTTAAGTGCTCCCCCCCCCAATTATGCAAGTTTTGAACAAATGCTACTCTGACGTTCGTGATTCACATTAAAACTTTCTTCCCTGAAAAGATGTGTGTAGCGTGCATTCGAATAGACAGAGAAGCCAAGAACATTCGCTGGCGACGCTCCACTTGGCCTAGGGCTCGCCGAGGGTGCCGACTCGTCTCGAAACAGCTCGTCACTCGTCCTAGACAGAGTGAGGGGACGTCTGCGTGAACTCTCCGGGGTCCGGCGCGAACACCTCGCACGCTCCCACGGCCCGCCCGAGCGCCGAGGCCGGCAGGGGCTTCCGGGAGTGGACTGACGTCGAGGGAAAAGGACGGCGGGCGACGGGGCGCTCGGCCCGGGCCCGGGGTCGGATGTCGGAGCCAGGCCTCCCGCCCGGAGCGGCTGCGGGGTGGCACCGCGGGACCCCCGTGCAGCGGCGGGGTGGCACCGCGGGCTCCCAGGGACCCCCGTGCAGCGGCGCACAGGTGCGGGAGCCGGCTCTCCCGTCTACGCAGCGCGGGGTCCCGTCCTGAGCCGGCCTCGCTAGTCGCTGAGGGCTGCGAGATCGAGGCTCAGGGGGGCTGCCCCGCCCTTGCTCTGGGAATCCTGAGGGAAGACGACCGCCGCCCAAAGCCTCCGCACGGCGCGCAAGCCCAGCCCGCGGCGCTGCCGGCCGCACGCCTCCCGGGTTCTTTAAAGCGCTCCTGTTCGGCCTAGCGGAGGCAGCGACCGCCACCGCGAGCCCGCACCCGGCCGCCCGGCGGAAGCGGCAGCGGCGCGGCCGGAGATCGCGGCTGCATCCGGGTCCCTCAGGCCTCGGCCCAATCCTCGACCTCCGCTCTTCCCACCCCTCCTGTTTCTCCGCCCCCTCCCGCCGCCAATCCCCGATCAGCTCTCAGCCTAACATGCTGGCAGGGGAGTGAAGGCGGATCCCGGCCAATGAGGCCTCGCTTCCCGTTTGAAGTCTCCAGTGGGCGGGCGCCGGAGGCGGGCGCTGCTGGTCAGAAGGTTCGGTTGAGCGTGTGCCATGGACTCAGCCGCCCGGTGATATTGACAATAGGAGAGAGAAAGGGGCATTGACGGGGACCCACCGCGGGTAGCGAACGGCGGCTCTGGCAGCGGCGGCTCCAGCTCCAGCGGCTCCTCTTTCTCCTGCCTCCTCCGCCGGCTGCCGCTGCGGATTCAGTCTTCCTCCCTCCCTTCCCCCCTCCCCACGTCGCCGCCGCCGCCGCCGCCGCCGCCGGGTCCGGGGCTACGAGCAGAGGCGCCGCCCGCCGGGAATGTGAACGCGGAGCCTCAGGCGGAGCCGCTACGGAGTCGGGTGCCGATTTGATGGGACGGGCCCGCGGGGGAGGATCGTGAGGCCGCCGCCGCCGCGCTGAGGTTCAGGTCCGGCCGTGAGGCCTAGAGGCGCCGCCGCCGCCGCCGCCGCCGCGGAGCCGGAGGGACGCCGCACCGGACCGCCGTCGCCCCGGGCTCCCCGCCGCTGCCCGCCCGGACCCCGCCCGCACGCCCGCCCCCTGGAAACCAACAATCACAGTCCGATCCTCCCCGAAGCTTCAAAATAACTTAGGCCAAGAAGCCCACGCGGCATAACGGATACAACTTCCTCCTTAAAGATCCTACCAGGCAGCCACCCACAGGGCTCCGGGCCGCAGAAGGCCCGGCCGGGGCCGGCCAGGGGTGCGGTGGGGTGGGGTGCGCCGGAGCCCCGCGCGTCCCACTTGTCTGATTGACCTGCAGATGCCTCGCTCCCGGCGCCTCCTCCCCCTCTTCCTCCTCCTCCTGGCCTCGGGGGCGTTTTCTCGTCCGGGCAGGGCAGGGGCAGTAAGGGGGCTTGGGGCAGCGGGCAGGACGCCGTAGCCGCCTGGCTGCTCCGGGGCTTGGGATGCGTGGGGTGGGAGCGAAGGGATTTCGGGCTGCAAGTACCCCCTCCCCGTCTCCCTCTCCCCGCTCTCCCCTTCGGATTACCCTGAGCCTTGGAAATGCCCCGTGCCCGCTGTTAGAGGATAATAGGGCTTCGGGCGTCCTGGCCCAGGGCGAAACCTGTTTCCCAGGGCTTTGGCGGACTCGCTGCTGCCGAACGTTCAGTCCTGCAATGCTTTAGGGTTGAGATCTCTGACGTTTTATTCTGGGCCGCGAGCATAAGGGGCGAATGGTTTTTTTTTTGGGGGGGGGCATTGCAACCCGTAGTCCTCTTTAGAGGTGGGAATGGAGAATAAAGACGAGATAGAAGGAGTGATGGAAGCAAGATTTACCGGAATCTTGCGCTGTTGGGTTACAGTAAAATCTAAGTAATTCCAATGTAATACCTGATGAGAAAATCGGCCCTAAATAGGCAGCAAACAGAGGTGATGTGGAGCTGCTTGCTGCTGCAGTCATTGTATTTTAAAGTCATCTTTTCGTTTTCTATAGTCATTCGTAGTGTGCAATTACATTTTAAAGATCTGCCACATATTTTATGCTAAACTAGGCAGATGAAAAGAAAAACACCTTTTTTCTTAAAAAAAAAGAGAGAGAGAACCAAAGAAGACTTAAAGTTCCAAACCTCCACATCATTTTTTTAGGTGTTATTTTTACTTTGTCAGAATCTGTGTACATAATCAGGTTAACTTTTAATTCCTACATGTTCAGGAAGAGCCCCTCTCACTCTTCAGAAGTTTAAAAACACTTGCGTTGTGTGTTAGGTGAGTAATTGCGTTCCAGCCCCCCACCCCCACCCCGTGGGTGATTTCTGTCTCAGTGTGCCGTGAACCCTGCGTGGAGCCTCAGTACCATAGAGACGATGGCCTCTGTATAGGTAGTGAATGAAATTGAACTTCATGCTTGGCACTTTTAGGAAACAGCTTTCATTTGAGGGGGTTCAAGAATGCCAAAGAACTATCTAGCCCTATCGGTTTGATGGAATTACAATTGGTGTTTGACAGTGAACTTCAGGGTCTAAACCTCTGGGGAACTCAACTTGGTTGTCTGAAGTAGGCTGTGGAGTTACGTTTTCAGTTCAGCTCTGGTGCTTGATTTCATCATAGGTTCCTTTATTAAGCTTTAATAACTTTAGGTGACTTCATTACAAAGAAGACTTCTTTGAAATGATTTTAATTATGCCTTTTATGTGTTCTGTTTAATCTAGCCTGTCCTCATTTGCAGTGTGGTGCTTTATCATAGCTAGCACAGCACATTGCTTTAAAAGTCGTGCTTAGAGTGTCATCGTGATTGTGAATTTCACCTTGCTCTGATACCCTGGTGTGGATTGTTGGAGACCAAAAAGGATTCTAGCTCCAGAGCCCATTCATAATATTAAATACCTTGGGAAAAATGGATCAGTGGACGTTTTCCAGCGGCAGAACCACTCCAGAATTACTTCCAGAGACTCGAGATGAGAAGAGCTGTGCAATTAGGAAGTAGGCAGACGGCACAGAGTTCTCCAAGTCCACATAAGCATCCACGATGCTTACAGCAGAGTGGTGTGGTGTTAGATTTAGGGTATTGCCTGCATGATAGTTGCATCTTTTTTTTTTCCACCAAATTCTCATATTTTACCACTGACATAGGACTTCTGTTAACTGACTTCGTTTGCTTTCTTGTTGAGCACATATTTTACCACTGACATAGGACTTAGTTTCATGAATATTATATATGGAAGCACTGTCATTTCTGTAACTCTGCTTGGGCACTTGCTGATGACACCTCTTTCTCTTCAGTAGGGATATGTCCTCAGCACCAACTACTCCTCCATCAGTGGATAAAGTAGACGGATTTTCTCGGAAGTCCGTCAGAAAAGCGAGACAGAAGAGGTCGCAAAGTTCCTCACAGTTTAGGTCTCAAGGCAAGCCTATTGAGCTAACACCTCTGCCGCTGCTCAAAGGTAAGGCTCCTGACAAGGTGATGCAGTTTGCAAGGGGTCTGTCTGTATCTGTGTAATTTCATTTTCGTAGAGTTTCGTATCTGTTAAGATTCTGTTGCACATTGGAGGGATGGGAGGCAGCAAACACATTGAAGTTGCTGGTAGGTGATCAGGTAACGCTCACCTTTTAAGGGGCTCAGTTTAATCTAAAGAGCTGTAGACAAGGAAAAGAAATGTATTGTCTGGGAGCCTGCTCACGTTGATGAGTAGAAAGCTTACAGGTGTCTGCGCCTGGTTTTCATGTTTCTTCTGTTGACCTTTAGGTGAATCCGGCAGGTACAAGGACAACTATAAACTGTGCTGTGTTGGTCAGAGAGAAGACTTTTGTAGTGAAGGAGATAAATACAGCTAACTTACATGTAGAGAAGTGTTTGGCGACTTTAGTTTTTAAAAATCAAGAAAAAAAAGAGTTTGTAATAGATGATATTCATTCTTGCCTTTGGGTAGTACAAAATAGAGAAGATGCATGATGGTCATACTTGCTTAATACTTTTTTCTTCGGAATGGGTGAAGAAGTTTTTAATGTGAGCACTGTTTTTTCTAAATTAGATCTTTTTAGAATCTAGTGTACAGATACTTTTTTTCCCTTTTAATTTTAAGTTCATCTGCTTGCTTCCTCTTTCTGGGGAGAAATTGTTTGAAATGTATCCAAACCTAACTGTTATAGTGTAGAAGCTGTCAGAATTCCCTCTAAGGATGGAGTTGTGTCTGCGGAATGCTTCCAGTGGGAAGACAGGAAACAACGCCACAGTGGACGCCAGTGGCTCAGAGGAAATGAGACAACTTGCTTTACTTCATTAATACACTTTTTTTTTTCTGTAACACTGTGTGAAGTCAGATTTTAAAAGACAACTGGAATGTACCTGGAAAAAACTCCTGAAAACTTAGCTTAGGACATTTCAAGCTGCTATTTTTTTCCTTTTTTTAAAAAAAGGGAGGGAGATTCATAAATAGGATTCCAGTGTGGAGACTTGAAGTCAGTGGAAACTAAATACTGACTACCATAAAGGTGATGGATCTACCAGGTAGGAAGGATGAACTCTTAAGTTTCAAGGAAGAAAATTTTGGCTGAACATTTTCCGGCTCAACATGAAAATAGTTTGTATGAGCCTTTGGAAGAAAAATGAGGAGGAATTGTGAGGCTAAAATTCATGGTGCTTTGACAAATACAAATTTGGGAGAGAATACTGGGTTTTTAGTGATGCGTTTAATCTCAGGTAGACACGTAATAGCTGCTAAGCATCTGTGTCCGGCAGAACTTTATTTTGAGGAAACAGATTAAGCTTTTTCATGATTCGAAGGAATTTTAAAACTTTTATTAAAAGTAATTTCTTGGGACTATGGTAAACACTTAGAGTGTAACTAGTCAGTCATAGGATATTGACATACAGGTAGGAAAGAGGTGTAAAGAGAACTCGGACACGTATTTTAATGATGTGCTTCCCTTTTCTCACTGCGTCTCACTTTGGTAAAACAGGCATGGCATAAAATGGGCGAGTTCAACCATTCTGCAGTTCAGTGGTATTAAGTGCATTCACAGAGCTCCCCGGCCATCTCCACCTGGTATTGCTAGAGCCTTTTCATCTCCCCCTACAGAAATTCTACCTGTTAAACACCTCCTCCCTCTTCCCCGCAACCACCCAAACCCTGGCAGCCGCCATCCTACCTTTGGTCCGCCCCAGTACCTCCTGTAAGTGGAGTCCTGCCAGTATTTGTCCTTTTGTGACTGGCTTATTTCACTTAGCCTTACGTCTTCAGTGTTCATTTGTGTGGTAGCATGTGTCAGAATTTTTGTCTTTTTAAAGGCTGAATGATGCTTCCTTGTGTGTACCACACATGATGCTTACCCGTTCATCCGTCAGTGGACATTTGGGTTGCTTTTACCTTTTGGCTGTGTAGATAATGCCGCTGTGAGCATGGGTGTACAACATCTGTTTGAGAGCTTGCTTTCATTTTTGGGGGGTGTATACCCCAAAGTGGAATTGCTGGATCTGATATTTGATTTCTTGAGGAATTGCCATAAAGTTTTCCACAGCAGCTGTGTCACTTTTCATTCCATCAGGAATGCACCAGGATTCCAGTTCCTCCAGCATCCTCACAGATCTTTGCTGTTTTTTTTTTTTTAAATAGCTGTTATAATGGATATGAAGTGGTATTTCATTGTGATTTTCATTTGCATTTGATTAGTGAAGTTCAGCACCTTTTCATGTGCTTATTGGCCATTTGGGTGTCTCTCTTTTTTTTTTTTTTAAGATTTTATTATTTATTTGAAAGAGTTATAGGTAGAGAAAGAGAGAGAGAGGCAGAGATTTTTTTAAATAAGTCTAGTCGTATTTAAAGTTTTCTAGGAACTCTGCTGTCCAGCATTTCTTTTGTGTGTGTGTGTGTGTGTGTTTGTGTGTGTGTGAACTTGTATACTTTGTGAGTGTGGGAGAACTGGAGAGGGCAGTAGGACTAGGTGTACCAAGTAAACCTAATTCCAGAATGACTAAAAGTGATTCTTGTATAATCAACACATTCTGGGTAAATATTCTGGGATGTATTCCATCAGTTAGATTCCCACACTTGTCTATAGAAAGCATAAAGAAGAATAATCAGGCACAGATTTCAGAAATATGTATTTGTTCTTGATTTTTGTGGTGAATATGAAGAGTTTGCTAACTGACATTTGTTTTCCTTATAGTGCATCAGCTTTTGTTTGTGTGTTGCCTCCTTGCTAACTTTAGGAAATAATTTATGGACTATAAAGAAAATACAGGAAGATTTTCTTTTCTAGGTTTCTCTTTGGCATTGCCTTAGGTTTTTCCTAAGTAAATGCATGCCAAAGGATAACAATTTATTTTTTTCTAGTGTTTCTTTGACTAAATTAGAAAGTTTGAGTTAATTTTATTTAAGACACATAATATGCAGTAGAATTTTGTGAGTTATTTAAAAGAACAAAGTAGAAGACTTGTCCTGAAGGACTTAGTTTTAGGGAATTTGACAATGGACATTGCATAAATAACAGAATTATGTAACTCATCTTTTTAATCTAATTTTTGAAAGCTCAGAGCTTATGAAATTCATTAGTCATTTGTATACATTATCAGAATGTTTATTATAGGCATTGTGATATTTGATTGGCAGACTTAGGCATACCACGTCAATCTATGCATTTTGACAGGACGTTCATGTTTAGAACTAGAACATAGAGTAAAGGGAAAGAAAAGGAAAGTATCTGTTTTGTCCTTTTTCTGATAGGTGGGTGGCATTTTGAAATTTGTGTCAGTGTTATTTCTGTGAAAGCAACACCAGCATGTGCTTCTTTGTAGACAGACAGCGAGTGGCCCAGCTTTTTTTCAGCTAGATGTATGAAATTATGTGGTTGAACTTTGTAGATAAAGACTTTTGAATTGTTTCTGGCTGTGTGTACTTCTGAAAGGGTTTTTGGAAGAACCCTAAAATTTTTGAATCTGACTCTTACTCATAGAAAACCTGGTAGAAGTTTAGTGTTC